AAAAAAAAAAAAAAAAAAAAAAAAAAAAACAAACCAAAACAAAAAAAACAAGTTAAAATGATAGTTTTGTGTATTTTAGTACAACTTTTAAAAATGTTTTAATATGGAAAAAAATATTTGCCAAAAATATTGTTTTATTATTCATTTTACCAATGTTTGCATACCCCGACACAAATTCATATACCAAACAAACATACACAGTCTTTCCTCCCCTGGGATGTTTTCATGTACCTGTGCACATCTGCAGGCCTTCTAGTTCTTCAGCATGGAGGTGCACATAAGAATGTAGGATGGTCCAATCCTGCCGATGCCACACCAGGGCAGGCAGGGTCCTAAGGAATAAAAGCGAAAACGCAAGTCATAGAGCTGCTGGCCTTCACCTTGGACACCTGCCCTCTTCTCCTCCCAGGGTAAAGTGCTATGGATAGCTAATCAGGAACAGAGGAGAAATCAAGCCTTAAATGTACTTGATAATAAAGCAATGTATGTGTATGTTTTGGAACATGGTATTGTACCCTGGCTGACCAAGAACTCACTATGTCCCCCAGGCTAGCTTCAAACTCATGACAATTCTCCTGCCATAGCCTCCAAAGTGCTGGAATTATAGGTATATGACACCAAGCCCAGAGAAGGCCACAATTTAAACTGTTCTTTGAAACAGATTGGCTACAAAAAGCTTAAGGTAAAGTTTTCAAAGATCTGCACAGGGTGAAGATCCTTAAGTTTTCTTTCAAATACAGCTTGCCAACTGCTAGAGACATATTTGGGGTGATATCCAAACTAGTCCCGGAAAGACAAAAGTTTTCTGGAAGTATCTTATATTTACAATTCTAGCCAAATTTGCAAAATGTATTGCTTTCAGATAATACACAAATTTAAACAGAAATATTAGTCGTAGGAAGCTAGAGAGACGGCTCAGCAGTTAAGAGTATCTTCTCTTCCGGAAAAGCAGATTTAACTCCCAACACTTATTAGGGGCTCACAACCGTGTATAATTCCAGGCCCAGTGGATACATTGGTCTCTTCTGGCCTCTGCAGAAATCAAACACACACATGGTGCACAGACGTACGTGTAGACAAACCACCCATACACATAAAATAAACAAAAATTAAACAAATAAACAACAACAAAAAAAAAAAACAAACAAGTGCTGCAGGAAGGTATGGGGAACTCATGTGGAAACCATGTTTCAGAAGCTGTGGATACTCCCCTTTAATAGGAATAATGTACGTTAAAAACATGATGAGATAAAAGCCAAATACAGAGGGAATAGGTGAAAATTCTGGCCCTCTCACCCTAGACAGAACAAGCACTACCCAAAAATAATTTTAAAGCAGGTGTATAGGGAAAGGCATTTGCAAAGCACATTACATTAAAAGTATTCCCAGTATTGAAAACAAGCTTATCAACTTTGCATTATGGTCTTTTTTTTTTAGCTCTTCATTTTTAAGTTTATTTATTTTATTATTAATTACAGTTTATTCACTTTGTATCCCAACTGTACCCCCCTCCTTTGACCCCCTCCAAATCCTACCCTCTCTCCCTCTTCTCCACCCATGCCCCTCCCCCAGTCCACTGATAGGGGAGGTCCTCCTCCCCTTCCATCTGACTCTAGCCTATCAGGATTGGCTACATCGTCTTTCTCTGTGGCTTGGTAGGGCTGCACCCCCTTCAGGGGGAGGTGAGCAAAGAGCCAGCCTGTGAGTTCATGTCAGAGACAGTCCCTGTTCTCATTACTAGGGAACCCACTTAAGAGACTGAGCTGCCATGGGCTACATCTGTGCAGGGGTTCTAGGTTATCTCCACAAATGGTCGTTGGTTAGAGTGTCAGTCTCAGAAAAGATCCCTGTGCCCAGATTTCTCATTTATTTATTTGTTTGTTTATTTATGTATTTATTTAGTTTCTCACCTTGTGGAGCTCCTATACCCTCCAGGTCTTTTTATCTCCCCCTTCTTTCATAAGATTCCCTGTACTTTGCCCAAAGTGAGTCTCAGCCTCTACAGATAAAACAATGGAGGCTCAGAACAGACAGTATCTTTAATATGGCCATAGAACTAAGTTGCCATGTCATGATTTAACTCAGGACTTTTGGTTTATAAAGTGTTTTCCCTTTTCATAATCTCAACCCTTAGCCTCTGCCTCATTTTTCTCATTCATAAAATACAAGAATGTTATTTCCTTGAATTTTTATGAGTAAGATTGACAAAGTAAGGTATCCTATTTATTCCCATTCAATAAACCCAAGACAAATGCCAATTCTTTTTGCTTTTAAAAAGGACTTAAGGATGAATTAGATTTAATAAACAAAAAAATTTCACTCTCCACAGTCCACCTACCACTAACAAGAGTCAGGTAAAACTGAACCAAAGAAACAATTTACTTGTAACAGAGGTCTGTAACCTAGGCCTCATGGACTAGCTGTCTAATGACATGGCCATGTCCACTCACTTACATACATGTTGCACCAAGCGGCTGAGAAACTGCCACAGAGACGACATGTTCACAAGCCTAAAGTATTTACTGTGTGCTTATACACATATGTGCGTGTGTGTGATACATGCACATGTAGTGAGGATTTTGGTTTCTTTAAAAACACAGCAATACTATAAGAACATGTTTTGTTCCAGCCCCAGGCGTGGGGATATAGGGCTGCTTCACAGCAACTGACTATGATTTACCAGCAGCAGATAGTTTCTGTGATTGTGACATTTGGAATTCTGGGGACTTTTCAGGGGGTACATATGCTAGGGTCCCAAGAGGCGGTGTGGGTTGTTGGTTGGTTCCTGTTGGTCACTCTTATGGTTTGAATAGGTTTGGCCCCCACAAACTCACCTGTCTGGATGCTTGGCCCACAGGGAGTGGACTATTAGGAGGTGTGGCCCTGCTGGAGTAGCTATGCCCTTCTTGGGGTAATAAACCTCTGACACTGTAAGCCAGCCCCTAATTAAATGTTTTCTTCTATAAAAGTTGCCATGGTCAGGGTGTCTCTTCACATCAATAAAACCCCAACTAAGACAGTCCGAGGTTTGTTAAGTAGTTCCAAGAAGAAACAACAATAATAAGAAGAAATTAGATATCCTAATGGCAAAGATCAAACTCGCTCCAAGGAACTCAACACCCCTAATTAGCAGGAAAGTTAACTAATGATAACACTGCCATTTCTCAAACCCCTGACTTTATTCAAGGATCTCTTTCCTTTCCTCTCCCTCTCTACCCTTTTTTTCTCCCTTTTCTAGTGTTAGAGACGAAAGGGGTGGAAGAAAGAAGAGCCCACAACTAGCAAAGATCACAAGGTGGCCCCAGACATGGGGCTAGGCAGAATGGGAAATTTGATTTTTAAATGCTATAGAATAAACAGCAGGGGACTAAGGAATAGATATTTTGTTTCAAGATGCCAGCAAAAAAAATTATTGCAGCTGCTACAATGGGATAGCCTCTGCTATGCTCCCGGGGGGGGGGGGGTCTTTCCTTTCCTTTCTTTTCTTTTCTTTTTTCTTTTCTTTCTTCTTCTTCTTCTTCCTATATTCTATTTCAAAAAGGTTCGGAGAGCAACTGGAAAAATTCCCAGTGAAGTGGAAACACTGAAGCTAGGAGCACCAAAAAAAGAGAAAACAAAAGGGCTCAGTCCCAGTGACTGAGCAAGAATGCAAGAGTTTCCCACGGGAGAAAAGAAACTGCACTAGAGGGTGTAGAGGAATTTTAACTCAGAACAAGGCTGCTCTAGCAAGAGATCACAGCCACAGATCTAAGTAATCTGGCTGAAATACACACACCACGCCTTTCATCCAGGAGACAGAAGCAAGCAGATCTGAATTCAAGGCCAGCCTGGTACTGAGCAAATTTCAGAAAAAGAAAAGCTTAGATCCAGGCATGGCGGTGCATGACTTTAATCCCAAATAATGAGGGTAAAGTTAGTTTATAGAAGGAAGTACCCATGCTTCAAAGTGATGTCTGGAGGCTGGAGAGATGGCTCAGGGGTTAAGAGCGCTGGCTGTTCTTCCAACTGTCCCGAGTTCAATGCCCAGCAACCACAGGGTGGCTCATATCATCTATAATGAGATCTGGTGCTATCTTCACTCATGTAGGCAGAATACTGCATATATAAATAAATGGTGGTGTCTAATTAAGTGGCAGAAACAGTGATGAATCAGAGAAAGATTTGACAGAATGATACACACCCAACTCTCATGAGGAGAGAGGAAAGGGAAGCTACCAAAGAGACAATGCAGAGAGGAGAGGAGGCAGTTTTATCAGGACAATAATAGAGAAAGAGCTCAGGTGAAGACTGAGTGAGCCAGAGAATGAGAAGGAGCCAGGAGATTACAGCAGATTGCTTGAATTAGTATGAGACCAAACAGAACAATTCAGAGGCCAAGAGAAAAGCCAAACTGAGTAAGTCAGCTGGAAGATGAGCTGAGCCAGCCAGCCCAGTGCTCAGTAAGAACAAGAAAGGGTAAGTTTATTAAGCAGTTAGTCTCAGAGGCTAAAAACAATATATGCCTAGGAAATATTTTACAATGGCTAGAAGCTTCTAGGACTAGGACTGGGCTAGCAGACAGAGGCAATAATTCTCCAAGACAACTGAACCTGGAGAATACACATTCCTTTTACAGGACAGTGGTAGGGTCAAAGAAAAGTTGAAAAGTCTGATGAAACAGCCCATTTTGATAGAAAGGGTTAATCTGGAAACAACTGTGCCATCAGAATGGATGGAGAGGCGGCTCTGGGTTATCAGATCACCACCATCAGCAAATCATACAGCATACACCTGCCAACAGTGGGGAACAAGGTTATCATGAGCTAAGATGATATCCTATAGAAATGATAGCTCTAAGGTATTTTAAAAAGGCCATGATTTCATGAGATGCACTTGCCTTATGTGAAACAAATTCTAAATAACTGAGCTTCTCAAAATAGAATTATTCCCCAAGACTGGAAGAGATTAATGACAGCTGTACCAGATGCTGGTCCCCAATTGAAATGATTAACATGGTGGAGGGAATTAGTCATGAATAATAAACAGCAAAACAGAGCTTGGGGAATGACTATGGTAAAAGCTCGGTTACTGGGTAAAGGGTGGTACTCTGATATACAAGAACAGATTCAATTTGATATTGCTACTATACAACAATGTCACCTAGCAGCATTAAGAGTTTGGGACAAAGTTGAGTAAAGCCTAGGAAAAGGACCACCTCATTCACAAAGATTATACAAGGCTCTGAAGAAGTCTTTACTGATTTTATTTTTTTACAAAGATTAGTCTCAGCTGTGAACAAAGCAATCTCAATCTCAGAAGGATGGAAGAAAGAGGAACTCACAAAGTAGCAAAAACCAGCTACATATGAACAGATCCTGAATAAAGACAGTGTTGATAGAGACCTTGTTGTATGAAAATGCAAATACTGAATATAAAAAAGTTATTACATCATTACAGTCAAGAGCAGCACCTATGGATGAATGTATGGGGCTACTAATGTGTACCATGCTAATGTCATAGGTCAAGCTATAGCTATAGGTCTCCTAAAAACCTTGGTCAATGACCGGAAAAGCACTCAGTTCATTGGGAATATCACTGTTTAAAATGTAGTGAGAATTTCTGTTTCTTTAAAAACAGTAATATTGTAAGAATGTTTTTGTTTTAATCCCAGGTGTGGGGATTTGAGCTTCTTCACAGGAGCTGACTACGATTTGCCTCATGCTGTAGAAGGGGCATGAGTTTGCCAGCTGCCAGTAGTTTCTGTGATTGTGTGACATTTGGAATTTTTGGGACTTTTCAGAGAGTATATAAATGCTAAGGCCTGGAGAGGAGCTATGGGTTGTTGTTGGTTGCTGTTTGGTCACTGGTAGCTGTGTACAAAGAATAAACAAGAAGAAATTAGATATCCTGATGGCAAAGATCAAACGTGCCCCAAGGAACTCGATACCCCTAATCAGCAGGAAAGTTTCTAACAATAACATTGTCCCCTTTCCAACCTCTGACATTATTCAGGAATCTCTTTCCTTTCCTCTCCATCTTTTTTTCTGTCTTTTCTAGTGTTAGGGAGTTGAAAGGGAAGAAAAGGGGTAGAGAAGGATGGAAGAAAGAGGAACTCACAAAGTAGCAAAAACTAGCTACATATGAACATATATATTTAACTTTAATTTACTTAATTCTATGTGTATGGGTATTCTGTCTAAATTCATGTCTGTGCAACACATGAGTGCCCGATGTCCAACGAGTTACAGATGGTTGAGAGCCATGTGGGTACTAGGACTCAACTCAGATCTGCTGGAAGAGCAGCCAGTGCCCTTAACTACTGAGCCCATATCTCCAGCCCAAACTAGAATTTTCTTTCAAACAAGGTTGCTAACTCATTGTTATCTGCCAAAGAAATAGTTGTAGTAGTATTCCTTTAGGAATGTGTGCACACACATACACACACACCAACCACTCCAAGCACCCAACCCACATAAATAAACATACACACCAAACAAACGTTAAGTAAAGATTTTTCTCCTCTGGGATGCTCTAGTCTACCTGTGCAAATCTGCAGGCCCATTTTTATTTTATTTACTTATTTGTTTATTTTTGGTTTTTTTGAGATAGGGTTTCTCTGTGTAGCTTTGGCTGTCCTGAAACTCATTCTATAGACCAGGCTGGCCTCAAACTCAGAGATCTGCCTCCCTCTGCCTTCCAATTGTCCCTTTTCTAAAATTTAATAATCTTTCAGCCAGGCAGTGGTAGTGCACACCTTTAATCCCAGCACTCTGAGAGGCAGGTGGATCTCTCTGAATTAGAAGCCAGCCTGGTCTACAAAGTGAGTTCCAGGGCAACCAAGGCTATACAGAGAAACCCTGCCTCAAATAAAATAAATAAATAAATAAATAAAAAATCTTTCCAAATTCAGTGATCCTGAACTACTAGCTCTAAAGTAAATCACAGAAACGGTATGTTCCTCAGACTACCTACACTCCTTTATTCAACACGTAACAGAACACAGCACACAGTAGCATCTAGTGTCTCCAAATGTCAAGAAAGCTTACACTTTTCAGTAATTAATGATGGTACCTGGTAAACTCCTGGACAGCTTCTATTTTGGGGTGATAGACAACAATTCGTTTTCTCAGCATCAATGCTGTGTGTAAGATAACAGTTTCCATTCCAAATTGAGATACAATATCTTAAAATAAAAAGATAATATTACATTAAATACATAATGGTATAAACTTCCCATTAAAAAGAATTCTTGTCATATAAATATAAAATTATTTTAACTATACCAGATACATTTAGCCAAACGCTAATAGGTGCAGACATACTTCATTTGGTGGATGGGTATGTTTATTCATGTATGTTTACCAGGATATATCATAGCTGCCAGCAGTGCCCCACAGGGACTCTGTGCTAGATGTACAGATAATGTCAGACTCTTAAAGAAGTGCAACAAATAATACAAAGAAGAACAAACATTTTTCAGTGACATAAAAAAGTCGTGAAGAACACCCAATGTCAACCAAATGCTCAGGAACCACTAAAGATAACAGATAAAGAGCAGTAGGCACTGTTAAAGATCTGAAGGAAGGCAGCTCCACCTCCAGAGGACCCCAAGGTCAGTCTTCAAGCTCTAAGCTGCCTGTCATTGTAAATTCCTCAGCTAAGTGCTGGGCTGAAGAATCTAACCTGTGGCTGGAGTTCTCTAGAAGAACTAATGGCTACAATGTGAGGAAAGAAAAACTATGTAAGTCAGTGGAGACTGTGAGCCATGAAATTTAGTTAAAAGGATGAGAGACACACAGTAAGGAAAACAGGTTTTCCTTAGAATTCTAAGTCACTAAGAAACATAAGAACTGATGTACACTCCTGTGTAGGAAATACAAGTTCAAGTGACCTTGTCTTGGGGCTTTTGTTATTGGCCAGGTTTTCTTTCTTTCTTTCTTTCTTTCTTTCTTTCTTTCTTTCTTTCTTT